ACTGACTCGATGGACATGAGTTTGAGCAAGCTCTGAGAATTGGTGATGGACAGGGAAGCCTGGTATGCTGCAGTCCATGGGGTCGCAAAGAGTCACACAAGACTGAGCGACTGAACTGAACTGACTACCTGAGTGGGTTGCCATTTCCTTCTCCAGGGGATTTTCCTGGCCCAGGGATAGAACTCTCCTCTCCTGCAGTGGCAGGCAGATCCTTTTCCACTAAGGCACCAGGGAAGCCCCCACGTGACTAATACGCTCGTGCCCTGCAACCTAAGGAGAAGGAGTAGCCTGACCCTAGAGCTCCAGCATACAGTGTCAGCTCACTCACTCTCACCAAATCCAAAACAAAAGCTAGAGAGAGCTTGCTCAAGAGCCTTCCAAGTGGGGATGGCTCAGAAGAGTGTGCAACTATGATGTTCTTTGTAATCACAAATAATTATAACAAAGAATGAAAGAAGTCATCTAAAAGGTAAAGAGCTGAAAAGATGTAAAAGGAGGCACATCCTGGAATTTTAAGGATATTATCTCAAAGTGTTCAAAGAGTTCAGAAGAAACTTATTGCTGTAAAACATGCTAAAAATCAATACTAATATTAAGACCAACAATGGTAATAATAATAAAACCAAACTTGGAACAGGGAGAAAGGAAAAAAATAAATATGCTTCTCGAGGCAGACATTATAAGGTAAACATGGAATTCAGAGAAAGCAAAAACACCTGACTCTCACTTTAGCCTGTCTTCCCCAGAAAGAATAACATTCTAGAAATGAAAAGGATTGGACAAAAAACACAAGATTGTCTTAAAACCCAAATAGGATGCTTACAGCTGACTTAAACAATTCTATATCTCTTCCAGAGCAGAACAGGAGAGGGTGCCTAAAATTTAATAGAAGCAATCATCCTAATTTTCAAAGAGATTATTTGTAGAAACTAAAGAATTAACTTAATGCAATATTTTCATAAATTGCTAGAAGATTATTGAAAGATTGTTTGTGAACATTTAGATTAAAAATAATCATAAAAGACAATAGGTGTTCCTTATGAATGACTCATGCCAAACTAATTTATGTTGTTAGGTTTCCAAGAATGTTAAATTATTAGGGTGCTATAAAGAGAAATTTTCTTTTTTAGTGAGTCATACAGCAAAGGTTTTTTTCCCAAAATCCTAGATATGGCAAAAGATAGCCCTGGATAGGAACAGAGTTAAGGAAGATTTTAGCTAATTTAACTCTGTACTCAAAAAAAATGCTTATTAATATTTTCAAAGAGTTAGGTCAAAATGTTCCATATTTATTTTTATCTTGTTTACTAATAATAAATTACTTGACTGTAAAACTCATAAAGCATTCTGAACAGAGAGAACCAAACTGCAAAAATATGGCTAATTTATGTAAGGACTCCAAACTACCTTAACAAGCTCAATAATGAACATTTAGGTTGCTTCCACATCTCAGCTGTTGTTAACAGTGCTACAGTGATTATTGGGATGCATGTCTCTCTTCACATTATGGTTTTCTCCGGATATGTGCCCAGGACTGGGATTGCTGGATCATATGGTAGTTCTGGGTTTAGTTTTTCAGGAACCTACACACTGTACTCCATAGTGGCTGTCCAATTTACATTCTCACCAAACAGTATAGGAGAGTTCCCTTTTCTCCACACCCTCTTCGCATTTACTGTGTTTGTGGATTTTTTGATGATAGACATTCTGACTGGTGTGAGTGATATCTCATTGTAGTTTCAATTTACATTTCTCTAACAATTAACAGTGTTGACCATCTTTTCTTATACCTGTTGGCTATCTGTATGTGTTTTTTGGAAAACTGTCTATTTAGATCTTCTCATTTTCTAATTGGGTTTTTCTTTTTAATATTTTTTATAAACTGCATGAGCTGTTTGTATATTTTGGAGATTAATTCCTTGTCAGTGGCTTCAGTTGCAAATATTTTCTCCCATTCTGTGGGTTGTGTGTGTTTTTTTTTTTTTTCATTTTATTTATGGTTTTTCTGTGCAAAAGTTTTTGAGTTTAATTAGGTTCCATTTGTTTGTTGTTTTTATTTTCATTACTCTAGAAGATGGACTCAAAAAAATACTGCTGTGATTTAGAGTGTTCTGCCTGTTTCCCTCCAGGAGTTTTATAATGTCTGGCCTTACATTTGGGTCTTTAATCCATTTTATTTTTGTGTACGTTAGAGAATGTTTTAATGTGATTCTTTTTAATGTAGCTGTCCAGTTTTACAGGAGCCACTTATTGAAGAGACTGTCTTTTCTCCATTGTATATCCTCACCTCCTTTGTCATACGTGAATTTGTTTCTTTATGTTTTATCCTGTTCCATGGGCACCACTCTTATAAGGAACATGTGCAAGCTCTTATTCTCTGGAAAAGAGGCATTTAAGGTGGGGAGAGTGGGACCAGGCCCCTTGAGGCCAGGGCTCTGAGGAGTGACATATAGCCCTCAGATCTTGTGATACCAGGTTTATTCTTTGTAGCACAATGCAAAGCAAACCTCAGATCAGTTAAACAATACTGACTTCCTCCTAGCAGAAGAAAGAACTTCATTGTAATTACAGCTTTCAAAATTCTATAGGCTCTTATGTAAAGGAGTCAGCTCCCCCTCAAGCCTGCAGCCCCCACTGGAAAGTTAAGAATTAATGATGCTCCATCAGTGGTGGTGTAGAGCTCATCCCTGCATCTGCCAGCTGGTTGGACTTGTCAGCCCAGGATTCTGTGCTTCTAAAATGTTTTCACTGTTTTCCCTTGATCTTTCATTCATTCTCAATTCTCACATTTTGTTTTCAGTATACTGTTAGAGACTGCCTAAGACTTTAATTGTATATAAGCACATATCTTAAAGCCCATTACCCTCCAGTTCTTGGCTTTGGATATCTACTGTTTGTTAAAAATACAGGGCATTACTTATCTAAGTTGTGTTTTCATTGTTTAGTCGCTAAGTTGTGCCCAACTCTTTCATGAGCCCATGGACTATAGTCCACCGGGTTCCTCTGTCCATGGGATTTCCCAAGCAAGAATACTGGAGTAGGTTGCCATTTCCTTCTTCAGGGGATCTTCCAGACCCAGGAATGGAACCTATATCTCCTGCATTGCCATGTGGGTCCTTTATCACGGAGCCACCAGGGAAGCCCTTACTTATCTTAGCGGCAGGAGCCTAAATCAGTAAAGATCTGGATGAGAAAATGTCCAGCCTCTTTGCAGGCTTTGACAGCAGCATTATGTTGTGGTAACTGATGGCAAGAGAGGAAAAACAGCATGGAATTGAACAGTTACTCTCTTCTACCCCTTATGTAGAAGAATTTTTTCCCTTACGCTGTTTTTAGCCTGCTCATTTCATGGGTGTCATGAGACAAAATGTGAAAGCAAAAGAGAGAGGTATATTTCAAAAGACCCAGTTACATCATAATTGTTGTTTAGTTGCCAAGTTGTGTCTGACTCTCTTGTAACCACGTGGACTACAGCCCGCCAGGGTCCTCTGTCCATGAAATTTCTTTAAAACCCTACACAGATACCCAGACATGTGTTTGTGTAGCTAAGGTGATTCCTCTCCATTTCTCAATAGTTTCCCTTTCAAGTTCTTAGGGTCCATGACCCTAGAACTAGTATGGTGGATATGTTAATACATGTTTTTGAAACAAATTACATTTTCCAATAGTTAGCATTGGAGGTCCAGAATAGCACCCCATGTACACTCAAGTGCACAGTGAAGTGGTTTGAGTCAATAGCCCTGAAATTCTAGTTATTTGGACACTACAGGGTCATCAGAAGTGTGTGTGTTAGTTGCTCAGTTATGTCCAGCTCTTTGCATCACCATAGACTGTAGCCTGCCAGGCTTCTCTGTCCATGGGATTCTCCAGGCAAGAACACTAGAGTGGGTTGCCATTCCCTTCTCCAGGAGATCTTTCTGACCCAGGGATCGAACCTGCATCTCCTGCATTGCAGGCAGATTCTTTACTGTCTGTGCCACCAGGGAAACCTGCAGGGTCATCATATGTGGGCACTAAATGTATATACATAAATATACATATAAGAGCATCCTCTTCTTGGTCCTCCCACCCATCTACCCCACCCCTTCGCCACTCGGAAAAAAAAAAAAGAGCTTTGGGAAAATAAGTCATGGTTCACAATTCTAGAGACTTGGCCTAAATAGCCTCGAGCTTCTCTAGTCATCCTATCCCTAGTTAAGTGTTAATTGCGTCAGTCGTGTCTGACTCTTTGCGACCCCATAGACTGTAGCCTGCCAGGCTCCTCTGTCCATGGGATTCTCCAGGCAAGAATACTGGAGTGGGTTGTCACGCCCTTCTCCGAGGGGATCTTCTCTACCCAGGGATCGAACCCTGGTCTTCTGCCTTGCAAGCAGATTCTTTACAGCCTGAGCTACCATGCCTGTAGGACCCAAATTCCAGAAAAAGTCCCAGGTTCAGGTTTGTTCAGGCTCACTTCTGGGTTTGAGATGAGAACATGGCCTAAAGATAGGACCAAAGACAAGGCCCAAGAGGCCCCATTCCCCGCCCAGCAGGAGAGACGGGGCCCAGAAGGATGCCAGGCTCCTCGCGATCCTGCCCCAGGGGGGTCAGTCCCTCCTGGGCCGCCCAGGGCACAGCTGCCCAGCTGAGTGGGTGGCAGTGAAGGACACGGTGGTCTTCACCGGCGTGAGAAGGGACACACAGAACTACAGACAGAGAAACCCAAGAGGAGACAGTTTACTGCTCATGGTGGCCACGGGCTCATCTGGGAAGAAAGGAAAGGAAACAACATAAACGGATACAACCTTCAGAGGGGACACAGGCCCCCCACTCCATCTCTTCAGGACCACCATGCAGAGGTGAGGGGGAAGGACGGATGGGGCCAGGCCTCTTCCTCCTCAAATCAGCGTCTGGCAAAATGAGCCCTGAACCCAGTCTCTCCTTCAACTCCGAGCCCCGTCTCCTCGGGGGCGCTCCAGCCGTCTCCGGCAGGACGGCCTCTCGGTTCTTCGGCTCCACGACTAGGGGCCACGGCTACTCTCGTCTTCTTCCTCGGGGGCCGGGGGCCGCTCCCCTGGGGCGGCCGGTGGTTCCTCCTGGGTCTGGCCGAGCGGGGCCCGTCCCGCTGCAGGCGGGGTGCTCTCGGGCACCTGGGCGAGGCCGGGAGAAGGCGGCCTACCGGAAGCCTGCGTGTAAGGGGCAGCAAACAGGTCCAGGAAGCAGCCGTCCACTCCCGGGGGGCCCCCCAGAGCTTGCGGACAGAAGGCGCCGGGGAACGGCAAGTCTGGCAGGCAGGGGTCAGCCCAGGGCACCGGACCTGTGGGGCCAGAGCACACAGCACAGTGCGCGGCATGAAGGGTCCCTCCCTGCCGCACAGAGACACGGGTCAGGACCCCAGAGCGGGTCTCCCCTCAGGACCAGGCACACTCCCCGCCTCCATGTCTCGAGGGCCCGGGGTGGGGGCACAGCGATGCAGAGCGCGGGCCATGGGCGGGAGGAGCCTGGGAACCAGTCTTTCTACCCCCTTCTTCTTTTGAGTCTCCTAGGGCGGTGACTCCAGGATACCCGGAGGCCAGGTGGCCCCTCGGACACTCCCATCAGCTGCCATCTACTCTGCACCGAGTGTTTCACGCCCCTCATTCCTAGTCCTCACCAAGCCCTCGAAGAGATGGGAATGGTATTCCCACTTCAGACTCCAGGAAGCTCAGGAGAACTAGTGATGGCTGAGCTGGACTACCATGCTTGGCTTCACCTCCCTCCAAAGCTCGCTCTCTCAGAGAAGGAAGTGGCAACCCACTCCAGTACTCCTGCCTGGAGAATTCCATGGATGGAGGAGCTGGTAGGCTACAGTCCATGGGCTCGCAAAGAGCTGGACACGATTAAGCAACTTCACTTTCTTCCTTTCTATAGCTCCTTTTGGAGGCAGAAATGGTAACCCACTCCAGTGCTCTTGCCTGGAAAATCCCATGGACAGACAGGGCCTGGTGGGCTACAGTCTCTGGGGTTGCAGAGAGTCGGACACGACTAAGCGACTAACACGTATACAAAGCTCTCTCTTTCTCTACTCTGAAACCTCCAGGAAACTGGAGGACAAAGAGCTTCACCAAGACAGCCCACCTTGGGGCTCTCTCCCCCTCACCCTCCTCAAACACTGGGTGGGGGGGGGGCTTGTCTTCCAGCCCCGACTCACCCATGTTCCCGGCCGGCGGCTGCAGCAGGACGGGCCCCGATGGAGGGCCTGGGCAATAGCCCTGGGATGAGCCCCCGCCGGGGCCACAGGACAAGGCGAAAAGAGGGTCTTCAGGCAGCGGTGGAGTCAGCGAGCTGGGCAAGGGGAAGGGGTGCAGGTATGGAAACTGGGGCTGGGGGTGTTGGAAGAACTGGGTCTGGGGGGTCTGGGAGAAGGGGCACGGTCCTGGCTGGCTGCTGGGCTGGTGCTCCTGGGGCTCCAGGTCCTCTAAGTATGAGCAGGCAGGGGGTGGACTGATGCTGTGGGGACAGAGGAGAACTTCCTGAGGCTCCGATGGTTCCACTCGGAGCCCTTCCCCCCCCACCTGCCTCTCCACGAACCCCAGGCCTGATGCCTCCTCCTCTTCCCGCTCCAGCTCTCACCCTCTCTCCTCTACGGCTGTGATGTCCTGATCCTTCCCCTCCCCATCCCCTCACCCTTTAACCCTCACTACGTCTGCTAACTCCTTGCTTCTCTCGGGGCTTCCCTGGTGGCTCAGATGGTAAAGAATCCGCCTGCAATGCAGGAGACCCGGGTTCGATCCCTGGGTCAGGAAGACCCCCTGAAGGATGGAATGGCTACCCACTCCAGTATTCCTGTCTGGTGGTGGTGGGGGACCCCATCTCTCAGTTACCCTCTCCCCTCCCCAAGCTCCATCCATCTTTTCTCCTTCTGTGCCTCCCCCAGGATAGCTCAGTGCGGCCCCCCGTGAAGTGGCAGACAGGTACCTTGTTCCCCACAGCCCACATGGGCCATCCTTGTGGCTGCTGTCGCTGCCCAGGGTGTCCAGCAGTAGTGGCATCAGCTGGGGGGCGTGGACAGGGCCGAGGGGAAAGGGGAGGTTGGCTCTTCGGACAGGTGGGGGGCTGAAGAGTGGTGGGGTCACAGGCCCTCTCTGGGAGCCCTCATTCTGCAGGTTTGAGCCCAGAGTCTGGTCAGATGTCAGCAGCATGGACGGCTCTGGGAACAGAAGTCCACGGGGGGTTGTGAAAGTAAGAAAACGGGGAGGGGGTGCAGCCTTGGCAGTGCTGGAGGGGGTCAGAGTGCAAGAGGCCTGGGCCCCCCTGAAGAGGCCCCACTGAACAAAAACCTCGGAGAGCTCTGGCCGCTCCCAGGTCTTCCGAGAGAGAGCCCTTTGACTTTGCCGTCTTCCCCAGACAACCCTCAGAAGCAGGTCAGCTCACCTGGGAGGGAATCCTGAGGGAGGGTCCCAGGCTCCAGGTTCGTGGGCTCGGTAGGTGGCAGCTCGGCCACAGAGCTGGAGGCAGACGGATCGGAGGCTGCAGGTCAAGGGGTCCCTGGACTCTGACCGGGGCTTCCAGGTAGGGAAAGGCACCCACACATCCAAGGTCTGTCTCCCTACGAGGCACTGGCAACTCCCAACCCCACCTGGTCCAAATCCTCTAAATATCAGCCGACAGCTCTGGCTCGGACGGTAAAGAAGCCACGTGAGATGTGGAGACCCGGGTTCGATCCCTGGGTCGGGAAGAGCCCCCGAGAAGGGAATGGCCTCCGGCTCCAGTATTCTTTCCTGGGACATCCCACGGACAGAGGAGCCTGGCGGGTTACAGTCCGTGGGGTTGCAGAGAGGTGAACGGCTAAGCGACTCACACACACGCACCCCATCATGTGCCCAGCCTTCCGACACCTTCCCCCTCCTAACCTCAGGATCCCAGCTTAGACCCCACCTCCTGCCCACCAGGAGGGGCCAGGAAGAGGAGAAAGTCTTACCTGCACTGGTTGCTGGCGGGGGCAGGGGCGGGACCGGCAGGTGCGTCCTTACTCTCCTTCCCATTCATTTTTCGCCACTTGGCCCGGCGGTTCTGGAACCACACCTGTAGGGGAAGAGACACCTAAAGAGCTTGAGGAGCAGGGCAGAGCCTGAGGCTCAGGCCCGCTGGCCCGTGATGGCTGTGACTGAGGAGGTCCCCACACCACTCAGACTGGTATGAAGCGTTCACCTAGGTGGGGTCTGAGTCACCTCCCTGCATCATCTAAGGCCACGGCCGGGTGGAAGCAGGCAAGAACACAGCCCCGGCTGAGGCCTCGCTCCAGCCCCTGTTGGGGAGCTGCTGAGTACTTGCTAAGCTCCCCCAGAGCCCCGGCACGTGGGCTCCCCTCCACCCCCAGACCGGGGGAGTCATCACCCTTTACCATGATGCGCTGGGGAGTGACCCCCACTGTCTGGGCGATCTCCCGGCGCTTATCGCTGTCTGGATAGTGGTCGTCTTGGAAGAGCCTTTCTAGCTCCTCCAGCTGGTCTGGAAGAAGAAATCACTGGCTTTGAGGATGAACACCAGTGATGGGGAAACACACGCCTTCCAGGAGGGACCACTGTCCCCAACCCAAGGGCCTCCCACAGCCTGGTGGCTAAGCTCCCCCCGTGGGCTGGGGCCTCCTCTGGCTCGGGCTTTGTGGCAGGGAGCTGTGTGCTGGTTACTTTCCTGTTTCTTCCATGTTCCCATAAGAAAACGCAACCTTTCCCTCTGAGGGTCAGAAGTCATGGCCCCACCGAGGTCAAGAGAAGTTCCAGCCAAGGTGAGGCATAAGCTAACTGCTCTCCCGTCTCCTGGGGCCACGTTCTCTGTTGGGTCCACCTTTGCCCAGGTCCCTCTGGTCTCCCCTCACCTCAGGGACTCACCCGAGCGGTACAGCGTGCGGGTCTTCTTCCGGACCTGGCAGGCCACTTCCGGGGACCTCTTTTCCCGCTCCATGTTTTGGTTGTTCTGGGCCAGTGTGTTGAGGAGGTTGGCCATGTGGCAGGACCCCCGGCCTAACCCACAAGGCACGGGGTTGTACGCGGCCCGAGCCGGGTTAGTGCTTCTGGGAGATGCCTTCGAGGCCGGGCCCACAGCGCTAGGCTTCTGCTCTCCGGCAGCTGGAGAGTAGGGCCTCTTCCCCGGCCTCCCCTCTGTCCCCGGGAAGGGAGGCCCTTGCCCCTGAGGCTGGGGTCTAGGTGAGGCCAGGGTTCTGGTTTCACGGAGAGCCCCTGGGCTGGGGCGCTGGCAGGCTCTCTCAGCCCCAGCCCCTTCCCCAGGGGGCTCTGACGGCCGCTTCTCCCCAGAGATGGTACAGGAAAGGAGCACGTCCTTGCCTGGGGTGTCCTGAGTGTGGGGGCCTGACCTCTGCACGGCTTCCTCCTCCTCCAGCCTCGCAGCGGGGGACTTGTCTGCACCCTCCGGGCCTGCGGAGAGCCAGCACCCCGACTTCAGCCCAAGAGAAAGAAGAGCCTGGCCCAGGAGGACGTGCTGCTTCCTGGTCTGCAACTGGTGTCCTGTTTGACCTTAAGCTTTCGCTTGTCTACTTAGCAAACACGGTAACAGTTCCAGGTGAACCTTCCTAACTCGGCTACTGTGAGGATCAAATGAGGGAATCCTTCTTGCCTGCAGAATTCCATGGACAGAGAAGCCTGGCAGGCTACAGTCCAGGGGGTCACAAAGAGTCAGACACAGCTGAGCTACTAACACATACGTACACACCTAGCTTGGAAAAGAGAAAGCACACAGATGCAACCATGAGGGGCCTGAGCTCGTGAACCTAGATGGTGGTGGAGCGATCCTAATTTGGGGGGAACTTACTCCCTGGGAGTTCCCAGGTTTCTCCCAGACACTTGGATTGTGAGTTTGAGATGGAGACTCTGCAGCTGATCAAACTGGATCCCAGTCCTGCTCTGGACACAGCGTCAGGGCTCAGAGCAGGGACACGGCAGGACTGAGTGGTGTCCGGGGGCCCAGATAAGGGCATCAGAGGGGAGCCAACAGGAATGTCTACCCTCATCTCCCACAGAACTGGCTGTCTCCTCACCGACCCTCCTCACCCCTATACACACCCTCATCTCCTCCCTGCAAAGCAGGACCTCAGCCCAGGGCCTGGGGCCCAGGTCAGCCCCCCTTTTACAGGTCTGGGTGACCTGATGGGCACTGAACGTTCCCATCACTCAGCCTCCAGCTTGTCTGTCCTTTTCTGAGCTATGACGGATTCATCAGGAGTTTACCAGGTCCTGGGCATGGTGCTAAGCACCTTTCAGAGATCAGTCCGGTCTGCATTTAATCCCTGTGAGAAAGGCATAGGCATCTCTCCCTTTAACAGATGAAGAAATGTGGATGGCAGAGTTGAGTGACTTCTTGCCCAAACTCACAGCGCAGGGCTCTTGTTCACTAGACAGAGCCCTTCCGAGGGTCACCAACCTGCCCCTCATTTCTCTCCCAGCTTATTCATAACCTCCACAACTCTCTCAGGTCAAGGAGCTGCTGTATTATTTCTTCCTAAACTGGAATATTTTTATTTTTTTGAAATTTTTTAAGTGGATGCTCACTGGTGTTTTGTTTTGGCCCCCACAGCATGTGGGATCTAGTTCCTCCACTAGGGGTTCTACCAGGCCGCCTGCATTGGAAGCGCCAAGTCTTAACCACTGCGAAGTCCAAGGGCGAGTTTTTTTTGTTTTTAAATGAAAGTTGTGTGAGATTGACTAGCTTAAGGAACGGCTTTCTAACACTGTGTAAAGAAAGATGTAGGTCACGGGCTAAGGTGCTTTGTCAGACTGTTTCCTAGTGTACAAGCTGGTGACAGGGTTTGCAGGCTTCTACTCCATGACTAAGCCAAGGCTGGATAGCGAAATGCGGAAGAAGGGACGGACTTGTTTTACAGTATTTTTGGAGCACTGGAGCCTAGCAAACCTGGTACACAGTAGGTGGTCACTAAAGGCAACGGATCAGAGGGATAGCTTTCCTAAAGTGGCTCAGCGGTAAAGAATCCGCCTGCCAATGCAAGAGACCCGGTTCCAACCCTGAGTCAGGAAGGCCCACTGCAGAAGGGCATGGCACCCCTTTGCCTAGAGTGTCCTTCCCTGGAGAATTCCATGGACAGAGGAGCCTGGTGGGCTACAGCTCATGGGGTCGCAAAGAGTTCGGACACGACTGAGCGACGGAAGAACAACAAATGAGGGTGATAGGCCCTGGTAAGAAAGGTGATGGGTCTTGGAACCAGAACAGCAGAGCCTCAGCCCTCTTTCCTTCTCTGCGCGTAGAGAGTTCCGAACCCCAAAGGAAGGGTGCTCCCTGGCCTGTGACACCGCCTCGAATCGCCCTCAGCTCCCAGCCCCGACCCTCCAGAGCTCTAGAAGTCGGGCCCCCGGGCCCCCGGGCCCCTGGGCCCCCGCGCACTTACCCCGCGACTCTGGGCCGGGCTCCCGCGTAGGCTCCATTGCGTGCACTCCGGCACGGGCCGCCCGCCGCCTAAAGAAGCCTCGGCGCGGGCAGGTGTGCGTCTGCGAGGCCCGCCCGGGAGGGCGGCGCGCGGGGCAGCTGCAGGCGCGAGGCCCGGGGCCACGCAGCTGCGCGCCCCCGCCGCGGCCGAGAGGGGCGGGTGCGGCCGCTCCCTGGGGCTGGGGCCGATGCACGCGGGCCGTGGGCGACGGCCCGCCTCCAGGGCCCGGGTCTGGGAGGCTGCGGCGGCCATCAGCGCCCACCATCTCCCAAGGCCGGCCTTGGCACTGGGCTCCGGTGGCGGCTTGCGCCTTGGAGACGGAGTCCTTCCTTGGGAACCCGGGGAGGCGACTTAGGGAGTCACTTATCCTGCGAGCCCCAAACCACTGCTCCACTGAGGTTCCCCCAAGCCTAAGCCCCCAAGACCCCGTGCGGATTGGAAGGTTCGCTAGAGCCCCGAGCTAGAAGAAGCCAGGCCACGGGGCGAAGTCTACATGTCTCGGATGGACATAGTTGCAGGAGCCCCGGAGGCCACAGGTAAGGGGGCGGAGGGCGGGGAGGCCATGCGTGCTGCTCAGAGTTTTGGTCTCAGTTTTCACCCGCTTGAGACCACTTTTACTCGCCGAAAATGGGTGGGGCGGAGGGCACAGAAGAGAGATCCTACAGGCGTGATCTTTGTGCCTCTTCGTTCACGGAACGTTTCTTGCCTTCTTTATAAAAGAGTTTAAGAATTTAAAATTCTCATGGCGTCGTCCTCCCATCTGCCCTTGAGTGGGAGGTGATGGCCAAATTGAAACAGGTGCTTGGTGCTGGGGGTGGGGGTGGGGGGCTGTCCAGGACCGCATCCAGGTGTTCTGCTTTTAGGATTGAAAAGACTCTGGACAGCGCGTGCTTTCAGGCTGTAATCACCTGATGGTATATTTTTTTCTGCGCCTTAAATTCTTTTGAGGTGTTTGACCTACACATGTGAACTTTGGAAAGCTGGCAGTTCTAAAATATAAACATATGAGCGAGTTAATTTTGTGATAACATGATCATAATTCCAGGCCCTCTGGTGTTTCATTCTGACTCCGTCAAGACGAATATCCTCAGGTAAATGAGCGGTTTAGAAATTGGGGCCAGTTTCAGCTAGAAATCCGGGCCATGTGAGCAAGAAAGAGAGGGCAGCAAAGTGGCTATGTTTGTGAAAAGTCACCATTTGGTGACATGGTGGCAACGAATACAGTAGTCTGCTTGACTAAAGATTTATAGGACACTGTCTGCCAGGCCCGGTGCAGAAGCTTACTGGTGGAGAGGGGATTAGAACAATGACATGAGAGAAGGAACAGTGTCCATTCAGCAGAGAGGTCAGTGGTGGGTTGAAGGATGCACAGAGGAGCAGGAAGCTTGCTGGGCTCAGATTGGGGGTGGGGCCAGGAAAGGCCTTCATGGAGGGGGTGACACAGATCTGTGAGCTGAAGGTTAAAGCCAGAGGCATTGCTACTGTGTCACAGCCCTGCTTAAACTCTGCGATGAGCCCTGCCTGCCTGTGTGATAAAAACCAAGCTCCCTGACCGGGAGAGGAGACTTCTGAGGTCTGGTCCTTTTCTCTGAAGCCTCAGCTCCCCTGTTGCCCACACCCACGTGTTCCAACTTTTTGTCTCTTTTGACCTTGTGTTGTTGCTGAAACCCCTTGGATCAGAATTTCTTTGGGAATTCGTTTAAAGTGTTCCATTCCCACACATTTTAATTGGTCGGTCCAGAGAGGCCTCTACAAAGTTTAACAAGCCCCTCAGGTGATTCTTATTCACATCAGAGTTTGAGACACTGGGTAGATCTGCCAAAACAAAATCCTGAGACCATCCTGGGGATAGGAGTGGGGAAAGTGGGTGGTGGAGGTCTTTGTGGGGGAAGGACCTTTTGTCCTTTACTGAAGTATCTGCTGTAGTGCAGAATTAATCTCTTAATATTAGGTTATCCTATCTCACTAAGTTAAAAATAAATCATCCTTCCCCGCCATCATTTATGTTGTATTTTCTCTCTGGTGACCCTCTGCCTGGGTGAAGGTCAGAAAAGCAAAGACTCAGTTAGTTACCCATAGACTGGCTGCCACCCTTGCACAGAACTTTGAAAAATATGAGGTCTAATTGTATAAAAGGGTTTGCTCTGAGGCTTAAGGAATTGAAGATGTTGGCATTTTCTCTTTTTAGAGTTTGTGATTTTATTAATAATCCTTTGGCCAAAAGTGAAAATACACACTGAAGGAAAAAGATGTTGGCATTTTCTAAACACAAAAATGATTGAATTTGCTAGGCTTCGGCTATGACATTCAGGAAATTGAAGTTCTCTTTTTCTTTCTTCTTCTTTCCATTTTTCCTTCAATAATATTCTTGCCTTGCTGTTTTATGGCTTTTCAAAAATGGTATGGTTTTGTTTGTTAATTTACATGAATATTTGATTTAGTTACTGTAAGTGAATTTAGTCTAAGAAAGCTTGGGAGTGTGTCTTGATGTGTTAGGTTGAGAAGGGAGTGTCTTTATAATATATGCTGTGAAGAGTTCCATCTTTCACAGAGAAGCTTCAAGGGAAGAAGGCAGAGAAGGGGGACTGCTCTTTATTGGGAGGATAAAAAATTTCTATTTTGGGGTACTTGGAAATATTTATTTCTAAGTCTTGGTATAAGGCATCTTCATGTATGTAACCTCGTTTAGAGGGAAGGGTTTTCTTTTGGGGTAGGGGAGGGGGTTGTCCTTATTTTTCAGAGCCAAACTGTAAACCACCTCTTGTCCCCTTTTAGGAAGAGCCATTTATTCCAACATCTTTTCTTCTCCTCGATAGGAGAATGACAACAAAAAGGAAGAGGTCTGATGCTAGTAAAGAATATAATTAATCATTTTTTTTTTTAGTTTATGTGGAGTTAACCATACAGTTAGTTTAAACACGTGAAATAAGCATTATCTGTCCTTCCTCTCTTCTTCTCTATAATGAAGAAAATAACCAATAGAAGGCAGTTGACTGAGAAAAGTTTTCAAAGCAGAAACATGGGGTAATTCATTCTTGGCTTCCAATGCCTCCACGGGAGTACAGGGCCACAGGTCATTGGAAGTCCTGGGACCAGAGGCAAAAATACGGTTGTGAAAGGCTGAAATCTGAACAGGCCCTGGGTCAGGAGCTCACAGTCCCTGCAAACACAGGAGGTCAGGGCCCCAGGAAACAACCAGGAGGACAGCAGGGCCCAAGGCAGTGGAGGGCAAAGGGGAGCAAGATGTCCTGAGCCTGAGGAAGGCACGTGGCTGGACGATCAGATGAGTGCCGTGGGCTCCGTGCGACAAAGCCGAGGGTGGCTGCTACCGGGGGAGACCCTGAGGGCTTGCTGGAGTCTCTGCAGAGATGCTTTGCTTGGGAAACCCCAGGAAAGGCTGCTTGGAGGTTGCTGGTGATGGGCATTGAGAACCCCTGGCTTAGAGCAGAACCCGCCCCGGCAGTGAGAAAACAGGTTCTGTCATGAATGCGCCTGATCACTTCGAATCCCTGTGCCCCAGACTCTCAAGGTTTTCTGCATCTAACAAGAATAGTGAGGCTGTCTAAGCAGTGTGGTTGCTGCTGCTAGCTTTTACCTGGGCCGTGCTCATAATAAGGGGCTTCCCAGGTGGCTCAGATGGTAAAAAACAAACAAACAAACAAACAAAAACCCACCTGCCAGTGCAGGAGATGCGGGTTCGATCCCTGGGTCAGGGGCGGGGGTCCCCTGGAGAAGGAAATGGCAACCCACTCCAGTATTCTTGCCTGGGAAATTCCATGGACAGAGGAGCCTGGTAGGCTACAGCTCATGGGGTTGCAAAGAGTCAGATGTGACTTCGTGACTGAACGACAACTCATAATATATCACCATGACTTGTGTTTTTGTAATTTGCAAAGCACCTTCCCTTCCACGCTAATCCCCTCCCGATGCACCTCTGTTTCACAGCAGACGGTCTCCTTTCTGCTCTTCTCCAGGATTGCAAAGCTGGGTGCTTACTAGAGCCTGGCATTGGAACTCGCCTCAAAACCTGGCCCAGGCTTCATCTGTGTCTTCCTTCTCCTGTCTCCCCCGACCCACACCCCCACTCCTATCTCCTCACAGTCTCCTCTCCTTCTGACCCTCTCAACCTCGCCCTGAATGGCCCTTGCCTTCTCATGCCTCAGGGCCACAGATCACATTGTTTATAGGCCTGAAACATGGTCCAGTCCCTTTTACTTCTGGCAGAGTCTTACTCACACTTCAAAGCCCAACCGGCATATTCTCTTTCCTGGGAAGCCTATCTTGGCTTTCCAGCGCCAGAAGGAACTGCTGCTTCCTGCCTGCTCCCACTGTGCTGTGTTCACAACAATGTATTACATCACCTAACCCAGGCTGACCAGAGGAGAATTCTGTGAACTCTCCACCAGCTGGTGAGTTCTTACGCCTTAATAGACATCTGTTCACACCAGGCGCTTCCTACCTGCTCTACAAGTGTCAGCTCCCTGAATTTCCACAACCGCAGAAGGTTCTGTCGTTAGCCCCATTTTATCACGAAGAAACTGTGACATAGGGAGCTTATGTGCTTTGCCAAAGGTCACAGAGCTTGTAAGCGGCACACCCAAGAGCTGAACCCGGTTAGTCTGGTTCCCGCCTGTACTCGTAACCACCGGCTTTCCTGTTTATTTCATTTATAATCTGTGTCAAGATCCTCCCAGGCTTGGCATGGCGGCTTGCACACGGGGATCAATAATTGTTCATTGACCAGAAATTGAGCACCATTGCCAGGAGTTAGAGAGCAGAGAGGGGTGGGAGGTGGCTGTACCTGGGCGGGGCGGGCAGCACTGACAGAGCTGTTCTGAATCTTGACCATGGTGGTGGTTGCGTGAGTCTACACTGAGATAAAATGGCATAGAACTATACAGAGTCAGGGCCTTCCCTGGTGGCTCAGCTGGTAAAGAATCTGCCTGCAATGCAGGAGACCTGGGTTTGATCCCTGGGTCAGGAAGATCCCCTTGGAAACGGGAATAGCAACCCACTCCAGTATCCTTACCTGGAGACTCCTATGGACAGAGGAGACCTACAGGCTACCGTCCATGGGGTCACAAAGAGTCGGACACGACTGAGTGGCTGACGCACCCTAAAACAGAGTTGACCCTGGAACAGCATGAGTTTCAACTGCCAAAGTTCCTAAGTGTGCAGATATTTTTTAAAAAAATAACAAATACTGTAGAATTACATGATCCACAGTGTATTACAGATGTGGAACCTCACATAGGGAAAAGCCGCAGAGAGAGAGGCCAGTTATAAGTGGTGCATGGATTTTTGACCATGCAGAGGATTTCCACTGACCTCTGGATCGTTCAGGGGTCAAATATATATGGGACTCTCCAGACAAGAATACTGGAATAGGTTGCTATTTCCTTCTCCAGGGAATCTTCCCAGTTCAGGGGTCGAACTCAGGTCTCCCACTTTGCAGGCAGATTCTTTACTCTCTGAGCCACCAGGGAAGCCAAGTCCAGGCAAGAATATTGGAGAGGGCTGCCATTTCCCTCTCCAAGGGATCTTCCCAACCCAGGAATCCAACCCAGGTCTCCTACATTTCAGGCAGATTCTTTACCGACTGAGCTACGAGGGAAGCCCCAAGTATATACACATATACATGTAAATGAGTGTGTGTAAAACTGGTAAAATCTGAGTAAGGCCTGTGGGTTGTACCAATATCAGTTTCCTGGTGTGATTTTATACTGTAGTTATGTAAGATGTTACCACTGGGGCAAGGGAACATGAGGTCTCTCTGTCTGATTTCTAACACTTCCTGTGAAACTACAATTATTTCTCTGATGTCCAGGGGTAGGGTCATGGCTCCCAGGAGAAGTTGCTCTGCCAGGAGCCCTCAGGGTGCAGAAAGAGAATTCTGCCTTCTGGCCAGAGTGAGTTTGTTACTGTTCCTCTCTTGCTTCCAGGACATGGACTTGTGTCCTCCCGGGCTTTGAAGCCTTCATGGTCTCCTGTGACCTGGTTACTCACCCCCTTCAAAGCCAGCGAGTTGTGCGAAAGGTGAGGTCACATCATGGTCAGCAGTTTCCTCTGTGCTTTAGGGCACCAAGCTTTAAGGTCCACTAACATTAGAGCGACAGTTCCAGCTCTTGGGAGTTGAACATGAGCTTCCCTTGTCTTTAAATGTCTCTTTTTGCTTGACATCAATCAAGAGCAAGATCACTCGTGTAGGTTAGAAGCTACCAACAACTTCCCTTGCCTGCTGGAGGGGATGGTGAAATATTAGGCGTACGTTTAAGTGGGACAGAGAGATGAAGTGATACAAGACTAGATTGATTACCCGAGGAATAATTAGGCCTGCAAAACCTGTCACAAAGTTTGTTGGAATGACAAGGGGTCAGTAGAACTGGACGGGCTTCTAGACCCCGTTTTAAGCTTGCAAAAAGACTTCCGATCTTCTCTATCTTGTAACGGAGGCGCTGTGTGTGTTATTAAATTGATACAGGGGAACTTGGACCTTGCCTGGGCCACCTGGCGTTCAGTTAGGCTGTGTCATGCAGAGTTCCAAAGAGAGGGAGCAAAAAGCTACAGAGATGGGGAAAGGCATATTTGGAGTCAGAGATGCACCAGACAGTATAGACATGAATGTGAGCAAACTCTAGGAGATAGTGGAGGACAGAGGAGCCCGGTTGCTGCAGTCCATGGGGTCGGAAAGAGTCAGACACGATGGAAATTTAGTATCTGAGCTCAAATATGTTGTAAATATAAAATACACACCATATTTTAAATATATACTTTAAAAAAAGAATGCAAAAAAAAAAAAAAAGAGTCAGACATGGCTGAGCAGCTGAACAAAAACAAAAAGACGATGTTAGATCCATCTTCTTTAGTCAGGAGGTAAAATTTCTGGTCTGAACTCTCAGATATGCCGCTCCAAGGCCCGTTGGGTTTGGGCTCACCAGCAAGGCTCACTGTTGGCTTTCAGACTTCTCAAGCTTAACCTCATTTTCAAACAGAACTTCCGATTTCTGCCCGAAAACCTGTAACACCCCCAAGCCTCCCCCTCTTTGTATCAGTCACCCAGTTGGAATCATCCTTGATTCTGTGCTCTCCCTCACAGCTTATGTATGAGCTGCTAGAACATTTCAGCCAGTTCAACCTTCAGAGCCTTTAACTTTGCATCTCAAAGCTTTTAGCTTCTCTCCATCATCACCGATCCAAGCCGCTCTCCTCTCGGGCCTGTTATTTACTGACAGCTTCCTAAACACATCTCCTGTCTCCAATCCTATCCCACTGTAATCCATTCTCCACAGTCTGGCTAGGGAGACAGTCTTAACGTGGAAATTGCCATATGTGACTCTGCTGTTTATCTGCTTTAATGACTTCCCATTGTACTGAGAGCAAAATAAAAACATCTAACCAAAGCCCTGCACGATCTGGCTCCAGCTTCATCTCAGGTGACTGTTCTGGTCGTTCAGACACCTTAGACATACTACATTCTTCTGTCTCAAGGTCTTTACATATCCTGTTCCCATGCCTGCAAACCCTCTTGGTGGTTTTTATGGCTGATTTCTACCCAGGTCTTGGCTTAAGTGTTATTTCTCCATACAGAGTCCTTTGGCCACATTATCTACCCAACACCTACCTCCTAATATTTTCTCTGTTTTTATTACTTTTCTTAAGACAATGTAATTATACTTTAGTTCACAGACTGTCTCCTCTACAGTATCTTGAGCTCCCTGGGTACTGAAACTACTGGTTTGTTTCGCCAGTATAAATCTATGTAAACAGCAGCCCTGGCATAGTGGCTGACTTATACATGTTAGCTATTTGGCTAATGAGTGTGTGTGTGTGTGTGTGTGTGCTCACATGCTCAGTCGTGTCTGACTCTTTTGCAGCCCCATGGACTGTAGCCCACTACGTTCCTATATCCATGGAAATTTTCAGGCAAAAATGCTGGAATGAGTTGCTATTTTCTCCTCCAGGGGATCTTGCCGACTCAGCAATCAAACCCAAGTCAAGTCTTCTGCATTGGCAGGCGGTTTCTTTACCACTTGTACCACCTGGGAAGACAGATGAATGGATGAATAAAAATACGGGTTTTCGGGTTTTGTTTTGTTTTCAGTTGGAAGGGAGAAAAAGATTATCAGATTTGTGGTACAAATTGCAGTTTCTGGCAATTCATAACCTGATATATAACAGGATTTGTTAAGGCCATTAAGTTGGAATGCTTCCTGAAAGTGTGGGCCATTTTGAGAACTGAGGAAACCAGAACCCAGGGGTAAAATGTGGCATTTTAGTGCTTGTTGTATGGAACACAGCGAGACTTGGCAGGCCTCTGTGGTAAAGTCCATATTCATCAGAGGCCAAGGCTTTTCAGAGAAAGAGCAAAAGCCAGAATTACAGCTTGTTAGAGCTTGTTCAGTCTTCAGAAAAAGACACAAGCAGCTTTATATTTAGAATGGGTTTTTTATAGACCACATATAGGTGGGTCTTGTTTTTTTATCCAATATGACACCCTCTGCCTTAATTTTTAAGATGTTTAGTCCACTTATACAATGTATCATTCACAAATAATGATTATTAATATGGTTGGGTTTAGATCTACCCTCTTGCTGTTGTTTTCTATTATTATATCTTTTTATGCCTTATTTTTTAGTTCAGTCTCTCAGTCAATGTCCAAATCTTTGTGACCTCATGGACTGCAGCACACCAGGCTTTCCTGTCCATCACCAAATCCTGTAGCTTTCTCAAACTCATATCCATCGAGTCGGTGATGCCAACCAACCATCTCATCCTGTGTCGTCCCCTCCTCCTCCTGCCTTCAATCTTGCTCAGCATCAGGGTCTTTTCCAGTGAGTCAGTACTTTGCACCAGGTGGCCAAAGTATTGGAGCTTCAGCTTCAGCATCAGTCCTTCCTATGTTTATTCAGGACTGATTTCCTTTAGGATTGATTGGTTGGATCTCCTTGCAGTCCAAGGGACTCTCAAGAGTCTTCCCCAATACCACAGTTCAAAAGCATCCATTCTTTGGCACTCAGCTTTCTTTATAGTACAACTCTCACATCCATACATGACCACTGGAAAAACCACAGCTTTGACTAGACAGACTTTTGTTGGCAAAGTAATGTTTCTGCTTTTTAAAATGCTGTCTAGGTTGGTCATAGCTTTTCTTCTAAGGAGCAAGCGTCTTTTAATTTCATGACTGCAGTGAGGGTCCACAGTGATTTTGGAGCCCAAGAAAATAAAGTCTGTCACTGTTTCCATTGTTTCACCATCTATTTGCCATGAAGTTATGGGACTGGATGTCATGATCTTAGTTTTTTGAATGTTGAGTTTTAAGCCAACTTTTTCACTCTCCTCTCTCACTTCCATCAAGAGGCTTCTCAATTCCTCTTCACTTTCTGCCATAAGGATGGTGTCATCTGCATATCTGAGGTTATGGGTATTTCTTCTAGCAATCTTGATTCCAGCTTGTGCTTCATCCAGCCTGGCATTTCGCATGATGTACTCTGCATATACGTTAAATAAGCAGCGTGACAGTATACAGCCTTGACATACTCCTTTCTCA